CGCTGTGAGTCAGAATCGACTCCACGGCAGTGGGTGTGGTTTGGGCTTTGCTTCTGTGAAGACTGACAGCCTTGGAAACCCTGTGGGGCAGTTCCGCTCTGTCCTCTAGGGGCGCTGTGGGTCAGAATGGACTCAACAGCAGTGGATTTGGTTTGCTCTTTGCTTCTGTACAGATTGACAGCTTGGAAACCCTATGGGGCAGTTCCACTCTGTCCTATAAGGTCACTATGAGCCAGAGTCAACTTGATGGCAGTGGGTGTGGTTTTCATTTTAAGCATACTTCATGGAATACTACATGTATGTATGTTTCATGAGAAAAGTTGGAAAACCACCCTGTACCTTTATCTACCTCTCAGAAATCCACCAGGCACATTAACAACCAAAGGCTATAACAAGTCCAAATGAAGGTGCCTGGATTATAACTCTATTTAGCTCAGACTGTGCCAATTTTATCTGACCACAACTTTCTCTTTCACACCAACACAATAACCCCTCAGAGAGAATCCAAACGCCTCACCACTCATAGTGGGGTTCGAATATGATCTGGGAGCTGATTGTTGTTGTTGTTGTTGTTATGTGCCGTCAAGTTGGCCCCGATTCATAGCGACCCCTCCTTGGGCTTCTGTGGCAGTTATCACTCTGGAAGTAGATTGCCCAACCTTCCTTCCAAGGAGTGGCTGGTGGGTTTGAACCGCCAGCCTTCTGGTTAGCAGTCATGTGCCTTAGGCACTATGCTACCAGAGGTGGGCGCTGGTTAGAAAGGCAGAATCTAGGGTCCCAGCTTGGCCCTATGGACCCAGACCTTCATTCTAACAAGAGATCCCAGGTCGTTCGAAGGCATCTTTTCAAGGCAACAGCAGAAACCCTGCAACATACACTTAGAGAAACTCTGTGATGATGTAAAATCTTGAATGCTAGTGTTTTCTCTCACTGATCCTGAAATTAATGAAGCCCATGGACTGAACAGGCAAACCAGACTGCATTTAGAATGAAGAGGTTAAAGTAATTCCAATCCCAAACCAAACCAGTTGCCATGGAGTCTACTCCAACTCACAGCAACCCCAGAGGACATAGTAGAACTGCCCTATAGCATTTCTGAGGCTAAAACCTTTATACGTGCAGATTGCCACATCTTTCTCCTGTGGGTTTGAACCACCGACTTTTCGGTTGGCAGCCGAGCACTTTAACCTCTGCACAACCAAGATGCCGAGTGAAAGTAATTATTGTTGTTGTTATTATGTGCCATCAAGTCAGACCTGACTCGTGGCGACCCCTCCCTGGGTTTCCGAGGCAGTATCACTATGCAAGTAGATTGCCAACCTTCCTTCCGAGGAGTGGCTGGTGAGTTTGAACCCCTATCCTTCTGGTTAGCAGTTAAGTGCCTTAGGCACTATGCTACCAGAGCTCCTTGTGAAAGTAATTAGTGGGAATTAATTCTAATGGAGAGCCTTTCTAATAAAGCTAAATTCCAGCAGGAGGCAAATAAAACCCAGAAGCCTTTGTATTTGTTTAATTTCTTTTTTTTCTTTGTTTCCTGTTAAGATGGCTAGTTTTCAAGAAGAAGACAGTTCCCACCACATTTCCTTGGTATTGTCTTAACCTTCTATTTGTTTACTTTCACTTTCTGTTGGCAGTTGATGTAGATGATGGCTTCTGTTTTTGGTTTCTCCTAAA